TTCGAGGCGACTGGGCGGGCTGGGCGTCTGATGCTCTGTCTGGCCTCGTTGAAAGGAACTTAATGATCGCACTCTGCACCAAGATTGATGCCTTTCGTCTGGTCGTTCGTTTGGCCCATGCTTTGTGAGACTTTTTTTTATTTGTTAAGTCCAATTCATACACCGCTGCTCTTTCTGGTGTTCTTGTGAAGGAGGGTTCTGATGACTGACTGGCCTTTCGACCAGCGGGGCTCGCAACTCACTCGAGTTCAGGCCCCTCGGAGCCGCAAGGGCGCTAACCTGATTGGAGCAATCGTTGGTCGTGGAGGGTGGACAGACCCAACGGCGGCTACGGGGAAGGGACATGTCTTCTTAAGCAACGATGGACAGTCCTTTGGCTGTTGACCTGGAAAGCCTGTCTCGGTGGCGTTCCCTTTCTTTCGAGGGGGTGGGACTTTCTCGAGTCCTCGCGGCCAGTCTGCGTCCATTGCGCACGCTGCTGAGACCCGGCAGCGACGGGAAGACATACTTTATTCTAGTCCAACTCTGAGTGAGCTTGTCGTGTCATATCAAGATCACGAAGGACTTGGTATTGTGTTCAGAGCCCACTGTCAGTTTCCCCACAGCAGCCCCCGAGGGTTGTCAATTCGCGTTTAGGGGCGGAATTCGACGGAGGCCGATAACCTCAGGAGGGTCGAGGCTACAACGGCGAGGGACGTGGGGCTGGGAGCACCGGCCTCGGGGGCACTTGAGTTCAGCGACGATATTTTCGAAAGGCCAAAAGGTCCCTGCTAAACTCTTTTGTCGTTTCAACATGATCCTGGCACACCTCGTATACCTTTATTGAAAAGAACTCTAGCCTTGTAAAGAGGAGCCTGGGCTCACCCCGTCGACTGCTTCGGCAGCGTGTACACTTCTTGAACACGCCCAGCTTACCTGCCCAACTTCCATGTCAACACCGCCAACCAGGTTGGCCACGCAATAGGCCGGTTATACTACTCGCTGTGATCGCAAACTTCGCGCGCTTCGACAGAGGCTGACTAACGCACTGTTCGAGTCCTCCCACAGGGTTCCTAAGCAGGACCCCGTAGCCAGTATGCCTTTTTGGCTATCGCGAGACATTCCGAGCCGCCATTGACATGACCAACGTGCGGTTGTACTGACGCGCCGTGCATGCCATGCTCAGAGGGTAGCAAGACTCTGCGTCAAGGTGGGATGATTTCAGAACATTGCCAGGGTCAGAATCCCTACGAATGGACTTTTTTTCAACTCACGTACGCAACGCTGATACTGATGACACAGGCATTAGGTTCTTCCTCACCTCGATTCTTGACCATGACCGCAAGGGTTGCGCAACTCACGCCACTGTTCAGGCAAGGAGCAAGGACGGCAGCCTCCTTCGAAGTAGGAAACACACATGCTCTGGAGTTCGGGAAGGTACCGCTACGTCTTCCTGGGTCCTGGGCACTGCTGGGGTCGGGCATGCCCAGTCCCCAGGTCAGTCAAATACCTAGTACCTGTGCCATGGAAGGGGCTTACGCAGTGGAAACTGGGCTGTACACTGTTGGCAAATGTGTTTTTGGGGCCTCGATCATCATGCCGAACTCACATAATCTGAAGGGCACCTAGCTTTGGGGGGCACGAGCCGTTCAGGGCTACGGAATGAAGTGCTGAGTGCAACAGCCCCGCAAGCCTCCACACCATCACAGAAAAGCCCAGTCTCGGCCAGCTCGATGCAGCAAGGTGCTTGCTTCACTATGGCCCGCCGATGACTGGGACCCTGCCAACCCCGTCTCGAGAACCATGGTAACCCAGATCATGCTATGAACGACACGAGTCTCTGCATAGAATTCAGTCTCGCCGCAAGTCGTTTACGATCAGACATGACAATGTGATGAGACGAGAGCAAGGTTGTGGTCAATGTCGGGTTGCTGTATTTGTATCAAAGCTGGCTGGTGAAGAGAATCTTCCCCAACCAGACGCCATTTGCGCCAGTCCTGGGAGAGCCCCCCTCTCCCCCCGCTCACCTCGCGATTTCCTTTCCTCTGACTGGCTTTGGCTGCGCCGGTGCGGGGGGATGTATGCGACAAATACAAACAAGAAGCTCCGATCATTGATCCTTCCTGGCGCCTGAAAATATGGCGCCCTCGCATTTGATTGCATCTACCCCTCATTTGCGGGAGTGACGTCGTCGCTATCATTACCAATAAATCCCTGTCCTGACCCCGTCATGTCATGATTAAAGCGTCAGGGGAGGGTGTGGGTTGAGCTCCGGGACAACGAGTGCTCCGGAGCGCCATCCGATCCGTTGTGCGATCGTGAGTGACACTGGACGAGGCGCGTCTAGTGAGCGGCCATGGGGCCCTTGGAGTCATTCTTCGGTCCCTGGCGGCCGGCCATCTGCAGGTTGACGACATGTCAGTCTTGTCTCTCGAATCTTGGTGGGCGGGGCAGCGGGGTGGAGGCGGGGCACGCCGGTGGGGTGATCGCGATTGCAGGCAGAACGCGATCTGGAAGCAGGAATCAAAACGTACCTCGTAGGGCTGGGCGTCACCCTTCTCAAGGATCTGCTTGATGACCTTGTCCTCGTCCTCGCTGCCAAAGGCGTTCTCAAGCTCCTGCTTGGAGGCGGTGTCCAGATGGCTGTTGCCGATGAAGATCTTGAAGGCGGAGATGAAGTGGGCGAGGGGAACGCTCTTGTCGTCCTGCCACTTCTTGTAGGTCTCGGGGTCCTCAACGAGAACGCTGAACTCGCTGTTGGCGATCTTGTAAGTGACCTTGGTCTGGGAAACCTCTCCGCGAACCATGATTGCTGTTTTTGTGTGTGGTGGTTACTGTTGTGGTGGTAGTGAAGTGAGTTTGGTTGTCTGAAAGACGGAATTGAGGTGAGGAATTGCTTTTTTGGGGGGGGGGGTATCTTGGGGAGTGATGGTATTGAGGGGAAGTGCGAGACACGAACGAGGGGAACGGCTGATTTAATACCAGCGGAGGGGAGAGACAGGGAG